CGGGCTGCATCGTCGAGGAGCGAAGCGGAATCGAACCTCGGAGTTTAGGTACGATTCGCGCGGTATGCACCGTCGGTCCCGCTCGAGAACCACCGGCTGGACTCTCTTTCTCTCTCTCTTGCTCGCTCTCACCCTCTTTCCCCTTTCTCGACTGTTTCCGTTTGCGCTAGTTAGAGAAACTGTACGTTCGCTTACGAAAGCAAACTTCTATCGAAGCTTCTGCAGACTTGCGCAGCGTGGTGGGTTTCTGGAGAGTGGCAAAGCAAGAGGGTGAGCGGAAGGAAAGAGAGAAAAAGAGAGAGAGAGAGAGAGAGAGAGAGAGAGAATAGAGAAAGGGAGAGATAGGGTGGGAAAAAGGGGAGAAGGTGGACAGCGGGGCTAGAGCGGCGAGTAGGGCGTAAAGAGAGATTGACTGTGGAAATTTCAAACGTAGCTAGATAGGGAGCGAGAAGGTCTCGCCTCGTATTCCCCAGCGAACTTTAAATATTTGAGACGCCATATATTTCCGCCGTTTTATATAACGTTCATAAAACATGCAAACGCACTGAGTAAATTACGAAGTACGCCGGGAACAAATGCTAGGATACGTTACCGTCACGCGAGCCATCGCGCGCTCGCGAGCTGGAATTATAGCGAAAGTTGCGTTACAAAAAAAGCTTAGCTTCTTGCAGCTGCAATCTGCGGCAACGAATCGATAACGAGGGGCACGATCGAGACAACTATCGGCGTCTCGATCGCCAGTCACTACCGAGAAAATCGACCTTGAATTCCTCGGAATCTCCTGAGGAATGAAGCTCTGCTCCAGCAACGGACGACATTTAACCCATTGGTTCCATTTTTCTTTCCTGAAAAATTTCAAATATGTTGTTACATATAGAAAAATAAGTTAAACGATACTGACACAAAATAAATGCTTTGACTCACTGTAGGATGAACATATACAACCAAACGGGATGGAAAGAGTTAAAGTAGAATTGCGCATTTACGCGAATCACGACTGTACATGAAAAAAAATATTTGGTTGTGAACAGCGTAACTGCATCACTTTAGTTGTTTTATGTAATTGTAATGTGTATAGTTGATATGACTTTGTTACTTTGATATATCAACTAGGTTGATGTAGTTACGCGTGATCTGGTTATGGCAACTAGAAATCAGTTGGGAAAATATTTACCCCGATGTATATTCTGGTTGGAGTAACTAGATATATCGTTATTGCTGCAACGCCAGTAACTTAGCAATTGCTTTGTGGTTACAGCAACTCTACACAATTAGTTGTTTTATATTTTTATATAATTAAGTCTGATTAACGCAATCAGATTTATACGCGAGCCAACCATATTGTTTTTTCCGTACGTGTAGCAACATAATCTATGTATACGAGATGTCATCTATGTAGACAATGAGTGATCTATGCATGTCGTTCAAAGAATATTTGCTAAAAATTAAGAAGAGTTAATATTTTTACTTAGAATCCAGATATAAATTTATATGAACATTATTTCCTAAATTAAAGACTCTCTGTGGATACGTTCTTACCTACAGAGAGTAAAGTCTATCAATCTGTCACGTAATAACATGAGAATTTCATGTAATTTGTTATCTCTTTTAAACATTTAATTTATAAAACAATTTATAACTAATTAATTTATAAAACAGGTACGATATAAATGTTTCATAATTTAATTGTTCTTTTTCGTATATTTTAATATAATTTGCAATATTCTACATAGTTTACATCGTCTATACATAAGAGAAAGACTGCACATTACACAGAAAATACGTATATATACATTATGCAGAAAATACGTGAACAATTAGTGTAAACGCAACGATCCGCTGGTTAATACGATACATACCGATTGTCTGGAGATCCAGAGACGCGCGACTGACGCGAGTGATGCACCCGCAGCATTATGTCGGATGTATTAATTTACGTGGCGAATGTTCAAATGTCGGAGGCGCGCTCTTTAACGGCATTCCGTAGCGAAGTCGTATATCTTGTCCTCGGAGGTGGGATCGCCGATAATCGAGATCCAAAGAGCGTTATAGTTGGCTTTAATGCCGGGTATTCAGAGTGAGGTACAGTGTGTCCCGACACTCGACTTGGGCAGGTTCCAAGGTCCTCGCCGCCTCTCGGTGTATACGTATATGGCACACGTACACGCGCACGCGAATTCACACACGTGCTGGACGTTCGGGACGGTAACCACCGGTGCGCCCCGGGCTCCACCTTGACGTGTTCATGCACCGGTCCTCTCGTAAACTTCTGGAGTGCTCCCGCCGCCTCCTTGGCTCTCGTCCTTTCCCTCCACCTCCCCTATTTGTTGCCCCCTTCGTAAAACCTCGGACGAAGTGGAAGATTGGTTGAACCACCCGCTCACCTCTCGATGTCTCGCTCTTTCATTCCGGGCTCTCTCTCTCTCTCTCTCTCTCTCTCTCTCTCCCTTCTCTCTTTCCCTTTCTTTCTCGCTCTCTCCTTTCTCTCTTATTTTCTTCGTCTTCTGCTTCGTCTTCTTCTTCGTCTTCCTCCGCAACAGCGCCCGATTCTCCTTCACTTCGCCGTGGCGGATCTCCCTGTGCCGCATTGAACTCGATGTGCCAGCAGATACGACCTTTACGATCGGAGGCCGCTTATCCTTCGCGAATAATAAGATCAAAAGGGCGGTTCTGCAGCCCAAGGGGGAAGCTCCTGTCTCGAAGGGCGGGTTACGTTTCACGCGCGGGACGCGTAAACGGAAAGTCACGCGCGGACGAGCAGTCGGGATGAAAGTTTAACGAGAATACTCGGCGCGACTGCGACTTACACAGAGCGCGCGTATAATGCGCATAAATATTTTGCTCTCCTCGCGATTGATTTATAGACCACGTTACGTCATTGGTGCATTATTACTTCACGACGTGTACGAAAGTACGATCATGCTGAGGATCGATCGGTGCTTCTCGAATACATCAGCCTATCCGCGACTCGAAACGCGGAAAACGCAGACGCAGTCACAGCGTAACGTACGCATGCACGCATATACACACACACACACGGTCCTATAAAGCAGTTGTACGTTCCGGCAAACGTTCCTTTATGTGACTTTATATCGTTCTGACATGCAATATCGATGACAAATGGCAAAGTAGCTGCCTTGTGCCCTCTTAAACACACAATAGGACGAAGCAGCGCAGTGAGCGAGCGAGCGGGCGGCCGGGCGAAGACACGCATTGTATTTGCCGAAGACCAAAGGAATGATCGCGAACACCCATTATTTTCGCTACGGCTCTCGCAAATGGGTGGGTGGTCCGCCGCGTTCGCGTACGTGTCCATTCGCGACGCGTATTTGCCTGGCTTTAAGATACTTGCATCGGTCCAATTTTCCGCAAGAATGTGACACGTAGCAATCTTGGTAACCTCCGGGCTGCGGCGCGCAATTTATTGGCCACCGAGTGCAGCTTCGACGATTTATCTTCCCCCTGCGCTCTCCACCTTGCTCTCTCTCTCTTTCTTTCTTTCCTTTCTCTTCTCTCTTCGGCATCACGTGCTACCTCCCTTTCTTTCTTTCTTTGCATCTTTCTACCTTTCTTTCGTCCTCTACCTCTCTCTTTCTCTCTCGTCCTTCGCATCCTCTTTCACCCTTCTTCTCTCTCTTTTTCTCTCTTACTCTCTTTTTCCATCTCAGCCATCGCTTTCGATCGAGTTGAATCAACGTTGGAACGCTACCTTCTCTCTCTCTTTCTCTCCCTCTCTCTTCCTACTGAACTTCGATATTTCAAACTTTCAGCCTCGATATTTTGCTGTATCGACAGTTACCGAACTACAAACTCGCAGCCTTGTGAATAATTTAACGCGCAATATTTCGTAGAATTCGAGGTCTCCGAGATGAGGGGGAGAAAGATCATCGCCCGACCCTGTGTAGTGCATTAGTTTCGACAAACAATCGACTGGCCTCATTACTATGTCAAGCATATTAACGGGACAAGCATATTAACTAACATCATTAATGCGTGTATTTTCGCACGAGATGCGAGGCAGATATTTGTCGGTCGAGACGGCTCGCAGGTCGCGAGTAACAAGGAATTTCCATCGTATTATTTTGCGCGCAGTTATTTCCACGCGGGATTACAATAATTTCGTTAGTATATGACATTTCAGCGTAACCAAGTCGGCAAATGCATTTTTAAAATAAGAACAGACTATGTGATGTCGAGTTAGTACTTGTGCAATAAGAGTCTTCCTTTTCGAGCAATGTTCAATAATGGAGCTTTACGAGTAATCGCGAATAGTCCTCGGTTGTACGATCGTTACGATCTGCCATAAAATTGGTGAAAACTGGAGCTCCGAAACTTACAGAGCCCTGTTTCTGAAGGGATTCCCTGCGTCGGCCACGAGTATCGAAATAGATAACGAGCGCGAACGGGGCATCGGGGAATTTTTTCGGCCGCGGCGAAATGCACGTTGCGTGGCAAAAAGGCAAGAAAATCGAGATCTGCAGGTGTAACGCCCGCAGCGACCGGGGCGATAAAATGCACGCAGGCTCTCCCTCTCCCTCCCTCTCTCTTTCTCTTTCTCTGTCCCGATCTGCGCAGGCAACACCGAGGGAAGGAACCGTTCGCGATGCCTCGGGCTCGATAAAAAATGCAGTGATCACATTTCGGCAGAGACTCCGGAATCTCCGAACTATCTCGCCTTCTTTGATTCTCACCTCCTCGCGCCTTCGTTCTCGCCTCCCTTCCGATCGCCGATACCACCGCTTCGCCGCCCCTCGGCTAACACACTTGGCATACGTATGGCCTTTAATATTTTTTACGGCGCGCTTTGATGTAATCGTTCTCCTCGAGAAATTACCTTCGGATCAGGTGGATCAGCCTCGACCCGAGTCGACGAACTTCGCTGGCGATAGTTTCGGCTGAGGCCGTGCGCGGCGAGATCGACGAGACCGACTCGAGCGATCTCGCTCGTCCGGGATTTTTTGGCTAGTTAGCGTGATGCACTCGACGCTTTTTCTACACAGCTCATAACCGCGGGGCTCGCAATCGGCTGTCGCTTTAACTTCTCGTCGGGTTTGCGGTATCTCCGAGGAGCAATCTGAGGAGGCAACCGTTGCACCGGTTGCGAGAGAACTAGGAACAAAAATCGCATACGCGCCGCCGTGCTCGAATTACGTACAACAGGTGGTTCACAAGTAAGTACCACGAGATGCCGCGAATCCGATTCATACTCCGCGATCTTCGACGCGCGGCGTTCCCTCCAGACGGCACGATCGATCCCTCGCAGGTTAAGCGGTTTCACGACGCGGAAGAACTCACACGCGAGGGATCTGATCTCTCGGTCAGATCGGAAATTAATTATCCGCTTCTGATAGATGAAAGCGATAGTAAGCGGGCCAAATACACGTGAAAGCGCGTAATCGTACGATAACACGGCTAAATCGGCTGATCGAGCGGATCGATCACCGCGCCGAGATGAATCCCGGGATGTGAGAAGTCGAAGAAGGATCATTAATATCTACTTTCCTCCTTACTTATTGTTCATGCGCGCATCTCGCGTAACTCTTCCGGTCGTCGTTGCATCGGAAAGTCGGCGTAAGGACGACTGTCGCGATTAAGGAGATGTGCATCAGCCAATCTGACGAAGGATCCTCTTTTGCGTTATCCTCGCAGCTCTGCCAATACGAGCGCAACGTCCGAGACTCCGGGCGGCTGGTCAAGCTGCGGCAAGTGCCTGGACGAGATGAGACTTATGCAAAGGTTAGCGATCAGCGGGCTGCTGTCCGTGATCCTGATCCTCCTCATCACCGGGACGTTCGTGTCGCGACGCGATCTCGCGAACGTCGTCGACCGCGGCGTCGCACCGGAAGAACGAAACGAACAGGTGAATCCAGCCTGGGTGCAGGACAATGCGGTGCCCGGTCAGGATGAGCCTGAAACCGACGACAAGGATAAGGATAAAGATCGACGATTAGACGCCAAGCACAGGCAGTCTGAGCCGTCGGCGGTCGGGCCGCCTTCCGCGTCTGTTCCTGGCATTTACGTCATTAGGCCGCCTAATCCGCCTCTGGACGATGTGACTAATCAACGACGTGAGAAAGTTAAAGAGGTAAGCCATAGATTTTTGCTTTCGCATGCTTCATGTAGACTAAGCTCTCGCCCTCTCTCTCTGACTTTCTCGGAGTGAAGTCTCGCGCGAAAAAATCTAGCATGACCGTCAGCGAGTCATTCGAATTCGAGTGACTTTCCACTTGCATCGAGCGAATTCTCCACTCTTGATCGCTGAGTGAATGTTCTCGCGCGAAATTGAAGGGTCAATCTGACCTGCCTGTCACAGGTACATATTCACTGCAATCGATTGACACATTCGCTCACATAGAGTCAGAATCCACTCTGAGCTTCAGTGAAACATTCACTCTTGCGATTTTGAGTGATAACATTTTTTCACTATCTCTTTGAGTGAAAATACTGCTGGAAAAACGACACTCCACTCCAAGAAATTTAGAGAGCGAGAGAGGCAACTTAAAGTCGCACGGAAAAATTATAATTGAAGGTAAGTGACTATTCAATCTTATGGCAACGTTAATTACATTTCATGAAAACGTGACAGTGACATTTTCGCATGTTCCCACGCTCGGACGATGATCCCGAATTTCTCGTGTGCTACTCGCGCCGTGTCGAAAAGCGAAGAGTACAGTTCAGGGTGAAACGTTCAATTTCCTGCGTTTAAAGCACGGATTTTTCGAAAAGTCATTTTGTCCAGCCGTGATTCTCAACGTTGTCGCGGGAACGGCGGAAATTAAAGGGGATTCTAAGGGGAAACCAATGGATCTTTTGTTTCGCCCGCCTCTGCATCAATATTCGCATTTGAATTACATTAGCGCGCAGGTAAAGAGAAAATAGGAAATAATCGGAGCGGCGAGCGTGGATTAATGGAATTTCCTCGAACGAAACGCTCACTCGCACGAGATCCAATTGGAGTCAAGATCGACGGGGCGCTCCGATAAATTGCTCCAAAATTCGGCCGTGCTTCAAGTTGCCACAGTAGTGCGTGAAAGCGTTTCGTATTAACACGTTCGCTACCACGATCTATTTTGGGAACTCTCTTTCCACAGACTATATTACATTTGTTTTCATTTAATCGTGTAAAACAGACTTAAGTCTATCCATATGCATACGAAGAAAAGTGTCGTCGTCATACACGTGTGACGTCGTCAGCGAACGTGTTAACAAAATATCTACGTTCTTATCAAAAGGCGCGCATCTGTTCCGATTTTCCTCTCGACAATCGAGCATATACGAGGGTGGTCTGAAAAGTTTCCGACCTAACAAAGATACAAGTCATTTTTTCTGAAAATTGTTTTTTATTTTTCAACATAGTCTCCTTGTAAATCTACACACTTCTCCCAGCGATGCTCCCATCTCTGTAACCCGTCGAAATAGTACTCGGCGTTTTTCTCTGCAAAATAATTGTTCACGAAGGTGATTGCCTCTTCATTTGACGAAAATCTCTGTCCTCCGAGCGCAATTTTTAGATGAGGGAACAAAAAGAAGTCGCTTGGGGCTAGATCTGGTGAGTAAGGTGGATGGTCAAGCAGTTCAAACCGTAATTCGTGGATT